TGAGATCAAAGATAACAGAAAATTTCAATGCCCAGGCCTGCAACATCATATTCCTATAGACTGAAAAGGTTTTGATTAACTTTAATTGTATTAAACTTCCTTCTAGTTTCTAAGAAAACGTGGCACCCTTGGGAAAGAGTGCTATTTCCTCTTCTATTCAAGGTCTTAGTATTTGTAACAGATATTGCCAATGAAAGTACCGAAATATCCTAAAGCCAGAGGGGTAATATTAAAAACATTTAGGACCCCAAAACAAAGCTAGGCTAAAACAAAATTGCAAGTGCTACTTTTATGGGCTGAAATGTCTTCAGCAATTTGTATTTGTATAACTAATTCTGGGTAACTTGTAAAACCTGGAAGCTTCACAAATTTGCTTATATGCCTTTTAATCAAACAGTACAAAACACCCCAAAAGTGCAGGGCTGAAAGGCATAACAGTGCCTGTGAGTAAGAAAGGGTAAAAGGGCCAAGTACTACCCCTGAAAGGAAAAGAAGCTTGATAAAACTTACAGGATCATTAAGTTTCACACAGAACTGTGGTAACCAAGAGACTGCTTAAACAGAGGGCAATTATAAAATCACAGATTTATTCAAATCTGTTTTCTGAAAATGTGGTTTGATGTCCTCTTTTGCAAAAAGAAGCAGATGAACATGATAGTAAAAGAGCCTTAAGAACAAAAATTGCTGACAATCAGCTTTTACGGGAGAGCAGAGTATGTCAACTGTTCCACGTGAAAGGAATCAATCTGGAAGCAGGGTTATGTGCTTTACAATGTTAATGTCAGTCAGCCATTCCACTGTAGGTTGGCTGGATGTTTTTTTTTTTTTTTTTAATTTGCTACATTAAAATTCAAGAGCTATTAATAATCTTTCATTTAAATTAGTAGGATTAATCCCTGCATTTATATTAGCAATTTTTCTGAAAATTCACTCATTTTAACACCTCTCATTACAATCAAACATAAAGGGCAGTATCTCTTATGGTGTCTCTTGTGATCTCTCTCAATGATTATTTTTTCGTCTACATTACTGTCAGTGGGGGAAGCCACAGTAAATACTGAAAAAGCAGTACATGCTCAGAAACTCCTGCACAGCTAAATAAGCAACCAGAGTTTTCTTTTAAGCAAAAAGTAGGTAAGAAATACAATTAGTTTCGCTTCTAAAAATATCATTTTATAATAAGTTTTCTTGTTTTTAATTATTTTAAATGGTACAAAAACCCTAAAAAGGTTTTCACACCATACTACTAACGCCACTGTTCATTTACTCAAGACAAGGGCTAGCCTGTATAGCTAGCTCTCAGTGGCAGAAGCCATCTACTCTACAAAGTGGATGAATAGCTCTTAGGTCAGAAAGCTCTACAACAGAGTGGAGGCAAAGGTGGTGTCACTGCAGGGATCCCAGAAGCAGCCAAGTCAACCGTGAGGACAATGAAGACTACACAAGGCCAGAGTCCATTCCCTGGATTCAAACCTCAGTCCTGCCACTTACGAAAGGCAAAATCTTATACAACCATGAACCTAAAGTTTCCCTGCCTGCACAGCGAAATATATATCACAGATTAAATGGGTTAAACTATGTGAAAATAGTAGCAGAGTGCCTGGCACAAAGTAAATGCTTAATGTTCACTTCCTTAACAAATTTCTAACTTGAAGTTTTAAACGACCCCCAAGAGAAAATAAAAAATAAAGTAACTCAAAGCTTTTACAGATCAGCAGTTCTCAGTCTTTAATTTTTTAAATGTTTTCAACATCTTTAGGAATCTATTGATTAGCATCCTTGGTTGAAAATCACAGATCTTCTCTCCAGAAAAATGCACATAAATATAACTTTGCAAGCAATTTCAGAGACTCTCTTAAGCTCAAAGAGACCACCTAGGGGCCTACAGACCTCAGATTAACAATGTCTAGAAAACTATTATTTAAAACCAACGTTTGTACAATTCAAAAGATAATGCTTAAGATTGTTTGCTATATGCTAAGTACTGTGTTAAGCAATTGAATGAATGATTTCATTTAATATTTGCAACAACCCTTTGGGGTAGGTGGTAGTATTATACCCACTTTACAAGTGAGAAAACTAAGAGTTAGACAGGGTTAAATTTAATTGTCCTATGTTACACAAGAAAAATATCAAAAGAAAAAAAAGTTCTCTAAAGGATAATAAACCAAAAATAAAACTAGTGGTTTTGAAAAAAAAAAAAAAGTTACTGAAATAAAATAGCTCAACCCACTAATACAGTACTGTCTTATTTATGTGTGTTAGCCACTCAATTAAGGTCTTAAACACACACACACAAAAAATAATGAGTTAAAAAAAAAAAAAACCCTAAATAACTAAATACCACTAACTAGCCCTTGATTTCCTAGCAACGAAGTGGACAGATGCAACCAACATGAATGGGGCCTGCAGAGCCACATCTGTTACTGCGGAAATAAATGTGCATTTTAAGTCCTTTTTTAAATGATTGTACCTCTTTTGCTTTGGACAGAACGTCTACTATGCTGCCATGCAGTTTGTACTTAAACCTCATGATACTGCCAGCAGCTGAGGTGGAAGGAATCATCTCTGCCCAGTCCAGAGAGGATCTGGGCAATGTTTCCTTTGCCTCTTCCCTCCCTCACCACTCCCACACTACCAGTGGACACAGGACTTTCTGCCAGAAAACATTCTAGCTAGCAGATTCCCGCTAATTAAAATGTTGCCTTCCCAGCACAGACACTTAAAAAATTAAGAGAGAAATTAAAAATTTATAAAATGTAGTCTTATGAGTTTATGTCATCATTAGTGTGGAAACATATTACAAACATGTACCTGAATACACAAAGAAAGCAAAATTATGATGCAATCAGTGCTATCCTATAAAAACTAAATTAACAAAACTACTCTATTAGGAAAGACATCTGGTGTATCATGGCAAGAAACGTTAATGATATTGTCTGCAACCCTGCAATCAATTTTTTCTCCCAGCAGCTCCCTCATTACACTGTATTAGATCTGTGTGCCTGCAGAATTTATGAGAGTTCCACACATGGGGGAGCTTTGCCAACTGGATCCGATTCAGATCCAGCTACAATGACTTTGGCAACTCGAAGCATCTTTATTAAAGAACAATCAATAAAGTTAGCTTTCTGCAGCACCATCTTGACGGAAAGAAGATTTATTATCTCACTACAGAATCTTTTCGATGCCACACACGATGACATCTGAGTGCTCCACCAATCACAAACTTAAATCTCCAGTGGACACAAATATTTTTACTGCTAAAAAATAAATACGGGTTATCACTAATGTTAGAATAAAAAGTTTACTGAAAATCAGTGTAATTATGGGGAAAATATGAAATTCGTCCAGAAAACGCTGGCTAGCAGGTATAGTCGTAAATGAACAGTCTGACGACATCTACACAGACTAGGGAGTAAAGCATATCAGCCTGGAAGATAAAAATCATTTTTTAGACATATATAGAAACAAGATGCTAACTGGTAAAGGCTGAAGCTTTAGAAGGAAGTAGCACTATTTGACTTGGGACTCTACTAATTCATCCCTTAAAACGTAAATATATCTCTCCAGAGATTAAGATCACAGTGTTTCCCCATTCCACACTGCACACTGCTGCCTGGTGAATCTTCTTAAGCAGTGGCCTGGGAGTCGGCCTGCCTAGCGAGCAGAAGCCTACAAGGCTCTCTACCGCCTAGCACATAAAATCTTCACTTGTCCAGCTCCTTTATGATCTAGCCCCACTTTACATCTCCGCCTCTGCCTCCCCAGACCCACTAACCTGTGCTCTTCATGGACGTCCTGCAGGTCGTCTTCTTACAACTCCCAGACTTGACAGGCTCATTGTCTAGGCTGCTCATAGGGACAGGTAGACATGTACAGCTGAAGGTCTCCTCCACTCTGCCTATCCACATCTTACTGATATGTCAAAACATACGAGCTCCTCAAAACCTACCTACCTTCACAAAACTTTCCAAACCACGACAGCCCATTTAGAGCACTCTCTTTTCTTAGTCCCATGATATTAATATTTTACACTGCAATTTAACAATTCATTATATATTGACAATGTCTTGTATGGGGGGGGTGTGGTGTGGTATAGCTATTATCTTGTATTATTTTATAACTGTTTCTTGAGGATAATTTTGAGCCCCACGATCAGATTACCTACGAGACAGAGACAGGTCTTAAACTTCTTTAGTGATTAAGGGCAGTGTTGGGTACCCAGTAGTCAAAAACAATATACACCTGTCCTTCATAAAATTTTACCATTAAATCTTCCTAAAGGAAGGGAAAGGAAGAAAAACGTATACACAGCTTTCATGAAAGGTGAGATAAACTACACAAAAATAACCCGTATGGATCACCAGCGCAGGGCCCCTGTGTTCTAAAGGGTAAAGCACTACAGCCATTTCATCCTGCTGTATCACACACCCCTTCCCCACATTATTACCAAGTAACAGAGGAACTAATAGGGTACACAGCTGTGAGAAGTACAGCTGCACCCGTAACTTGAGGTGTTTATCCTATAGCTAGTATTACAGAAAAGCCTGGCTACTTCTGAGTAATACTCTACCGAACATCACCTGAGGGGACGACACCCAAAATACTTTAGATTCATGGGCCACGAGTCCCAATGAGCATGAGGAAATGCACATTCCACACTTCGACTCAAACTTACCCCCTTTTTTCCCCATTTCAGTTGCCAACATCCATACTCGCTGCTGATTGCCAGCTCCTGCTCCTTGCAGCAGCCCAGCATGCTCTCTACTGGTGCCAAAATATCCTACCACCAAACCCCACTAACTTCTGGAACTGTCCTAGAGGGGTAAGGTAAGTCCCGTATTTTGCTTCCTCTGTGCATGTACTTGTTACTCCTTTTAAAACACATACAATACAGCACATTTGTAAAGGGGCTCTGGGGAGGGAGGTAATATTCCTATTTTATACCCTATGGGATATAAAATATTGATAGCTTTTAAAAACGGGATTCTCCTTACCCCTACAGGCCCTCTCCCGGCTTCAGAAAGATGTTGTGGTGGCTGTGATGCCACCGGCAGAGAGCATGCTGGGGGGTCACACAAAGCAGGAGTTGGAGATCTGCAACAGGCCTGGGAGTTGTGGACCTAAAAAAGAAAAAAGTTTTAAGTTAACGTGCCCAATGCCCTCTCATACCCTGGTTATTAGGGGCACTCAGCACACAAGTAGGTATCTGCAAAAGTCCTTTACAGATGGCCTCTGAAATCTCAGGTAACTAATTTGTTCTACCACTAAGTTAACCTTTTGGCATTAATCAAAGCTGTTTCTTTTATTTCAGTGTTGAACAAACATACAACCCTTCTGGCTCCACACTTTAATCCGTGTCCTGGTATAAAGTCGTATGGTGTGTGCCCCTCGAAATAACCAAGTTAAGACGTGAGACAATGCCAAAAGCACAGGAACAGTGGCATGCTTTGCTTATAAGAAAACAAAAATTCAGTAGTGATACATAAACACAACTGTAAAATGAACCGCAAGTAGACAAACTGAGCTTTCAGAAGAGTATCTAGTGAGAGATGCTAGAGGTAAGACAGATATACAGTAAGGAAATAGTCAAGGCATTAGGGTGACCAAAGAAAGCCTCTGCCATTTTCACCAAGTCCTAGATTAATTTTGTAAAGCTGAAGGCGAGGTAAACGAAGGCTTAACTCCAGAGAACAAAAGATACCAGTCAAATGAGTTTTCATTTTCTCACAATGCCTACAAGGTAAGTATAATGAACAAGGCACAGAGCATAAAGTTCAAGAAAGATATTATTTTGCTTTAGGAGCAAGAAACAGTTTGGTATGTATCACATGTCTTCTTTTAAAGAAACTTTGTAAACATTTAGCAGAACAAAAAAAGATTAGAGAGCAACTTTTGAAAGCCAGCACAGTCCTTTTAAGTACCACAAAAGATACCTCAGATAACAGAGTTTGAATATGTTCCCTTTCAAATATTCTAAATAGTATATAACATTTTTTTTAAAACCTAACCAATTCAATTTCATGTGGTTTTAAATAAATTAAAAAGACCATAAAATCCAAAGACTTATATAACTTTAAAGTTGTTTAAAAATTACAGATAAGCAAACTTTTTAACATTAAATCATTTTAAGGAGTCCTGTTAACCATATAATTCCTTTAAGGTGCAAAAAATCACTCTAATAACTTTCTGTAAACCAAAACCTTAATATACTCCATTAACTCAAAACTTACTTTTGTATGTCTCTTTTAGATACCTCCTAAAAAGACAAATCCCAAGAAAATAAGCTAATATTGAGAATGTCTTTATCATAATTATTTTCTATCTCTAAAGAGCACCCTTTAGAGTATATTCCTGGACTCTACACCGTGAACTTTCCGTGCAGTGGTCTCTGACTCCCACTGTCTGGGTGACAGTGGATATTCAATGTTTTACGCATTTAAAAAAAAAAAAAGGTATCATTTCAAAGCATGTCATTGTTCTTACTTGGGAATCGGAAAACGTTTTGGCAATATCTGTTCCCTTAATTTTCTTTAAGTTCTTCTAGTGGATCCTTCTTGGGCTATTTTAAGTCGGTGCTGGGTTCTTAACACAAGTATACACACGTTACAAATTTCTAGTTCTAAAGGAATCAAGTTTGAACAATAAGACTTTATCAATATTCTTGCACAGCAGATCTCTGCAATTATCAGACTGTCTAAAACTTTCTTCTCTTAAGCTCCTTAAAAAAATTAGAATACCTAGAGTTTTCTGCATTGAAAAAATTTCACATATAGAAAACAGGTTTAGTAAATAACATTTTTTGAAAATATTTTATGGAAATAAATAGAACTGAACAAAACTTTTTTTTCAATCATTTCTTAAATACGGGGTCTTAAAATCATGTAAATTGGGAGAAAACGAATTATCCAACTTCATAGTACCGTGAGCTGTTAAAACTTTATTAACGCTGCGTGGCCTATCAGACTGTCAGCCATGAGTGAAAACAGACTGCTGAGAAGCTGCATAAACCTACTCCTCGGCCTCATTTTGAGTTCCACTGACGGGAATACCACCCTCTCTCTGTTTATAAATCGACATCCCCGTCCTACAAAACCTATGTGGTGGTTCAAACAAAAAGTCAACATCACTGCTCCATATTGGGGAGGGGGGGACGGAGATATACCTGAAACATCCCATCTGACTATGATTATGTCCAGCAAACTCAGGGCTAAGGAATTCCATCCTACTCTTGCCTCCTGGAAGGATGGAAGAAAATCATAAACTTCAAATTTACATGTAAAAAGGACATTTAACCCTTGCCCAGGGGACCATGGAATAAACTCAATACCCTATTGCAGCTTATTACAATGCTTCAAGATCGCTGTCTTTATTAAAACAAACAAACAAAAGGCATGGCCTCCAGAAAAATTCTCTTGCACCAAATCAGTAATTCGCACCATTTCTTGACTTGGAAGAGTACTCTCATGCTAACGCACTTACTCCTGCTAGGTAAAAGCAGGAAAACTAACAGAACAACTCCTTGAAAGAACTGTCTTAGTGGTACATATTAAATTAGTTCTTTAAGTAATAATGAAGTCATTATTCTATAAAAAGAACTTTGATAAGGAACCTTAAGTTTTTCATTTAATTATCCAACAAGTCACAAAGCTGTAACTGGGTGGTACTAACCTTTTTACAGAGAAAGAACAAAGAGGGTAAAGGGAAGAAGGCACCATAGAAAGAAACACTCAATTCTGCAGGCATAACTTCAGGGACTGTCAAAAAGCAGGGGCAAAAAAATAACTGTTTCACACAGAAATGAAACATCATCATACCATAAGGCATTTTTCTTAAGAGCTGGCCTTATTTGGATTGTTCACATAAGCCATTTATCTTTGCTAAGAGCAAGTTATATAGAAAATTCAAAGCACAATATAGTAAGACCTAAAATATTTTTTAAAGGAATAGTGTTTTATTATTGAAATATATAAAATACTGTACACTGCAGGCTAACCAAAGGTTAATCAAAGCAGATCTTTGGCTTATTTAACAGACAGATGGTTAATCTGTAGTTGAACCATTCAGTGTAGCAAATAACTGCTATTGAAGTTTTTAAAACTTTATCCAATGAATTTTTCCCACTAAAATTTTACTTTATTCATATTCAATAAATACTTATTATGTTATAGAACTTATATGGGCCTGGCAATGTGCTAATAACGACACAATACACATCAATGAATAAAAGAGACATGGTGTCTGCCCTTACGAAGCTTAAATCTAGAGCACCAGCTAAACATCATCCATCAACATCATCATCATCACAGGCCACGCACTGGGCTACATACTTTGTTGGCTTGATCTTTTAATCTAAAAGCAACCTACCTAGCAAAGTAGGTATCTTATTTCCCAACTTCATAAGTAAAGAAAGTGACGTTAAAAGGGTTAAGATGAACAGGGATGTGAACCCAGACAATGTGATGTCTAAATCCAAGTTCTCAACTTGTGTATTCTATTGTCCTTCATATCTGCCCGAGTACAACATATCCCAAATTCTGAATTGGTCATTTCAAATTAATGTAAATTTCCTGCCCCCACTCCAAAGTTCGTAATACAAGATTTACCAAGTCATCCTTTGATTAGTCTAGTATTACAGTGAATGCCTACTTACTGAGTGTCCATACACCATACATTCTCTGCTTAGAATTAAGCTGGGATTAAATACTTGTGGTTGATAATACATAAATCTGACAATCCATTCATTGTGTGTACATATGTAAGTGTACACAAAGAGTGCATGTTAATGAAGTATCTAAATGATATTTCCCAGTATTATTTACATACAGGTCTCTAACAAAAAAATGAGAAGGTAAGAGTTATCTAAACTCCTTCAGTACATTTTCATTTTAAAGAAGGAAACACAGCTTCTTGTGCTTTTAATCCATTTCTGAGAAACTAAATTTGGTGGAGAGAGGCGAGTATCAATGGTAGTTAGAAACTAAGCTGAAGCTAATTTCTCTGCAGTCCCTTTTCTGCTGCACTGTCAGGGAAGGGCAAGAATAAAAGCTGATGGGCGGCAACTGGCTTCTAGAGTAAGGTTATGGGTACAGACCAGGGATCATAGAGGAATTCCAAACGTTCCTCCTCCAACTGCTCACTTTTGACAATGAAACAAAGAGAGGGATATGGTATTAAATCTTGAATACTTGGCTCCACATTCACTGCAGTAATGGCGATATGACTTCTCCAAGGTAACTAGTGGTATGTGTCCTTAGCTAGTTCACATACACAATCAACACTTAGAATGTGTGCTGGTAGGGACATAAATGACACAACAGCACCCTCAACCATGCAAGGCTATAACAGTACATTTAGTCTAGCTAACAGTCAACTAAAAACACCAAAATATCCCTAATGACATATCCCCAACTCTAAGGAAACTCTAGGTAAATTTTAATTTTAAAGACAATGGTCCCAGTTTTAGTACTAAACCAAATAGCAACCAAAATTAATCACTGGTATTTGCCTAAAATAATATCTGTAATAATCTCAAATCCTATCTGGAAATTCATGTGGTATAAGTAACAGCTGAAGAACCTATAAATACGTAATTCTAAGGAACCAAAAATCATACTTTCTTCTATTGTATGAATGCTAGTCTCTTATTAGGAGTCCACACAGAATGCTCATGTAGAATATTAAAGGAATGATGTGATTACTTATCTGTGAAGAAAGAATAAGGTATGAACTACCACTATAAGAGCCAGACAAGGAAATCCTTGGTGTTATACTGAATGAAAATTACTAATCTTAGTGATCTTCTTGTCAGCATTCTCAGATTCCATGATTATTTCTAGACAGTAAATTATCTCAATAATGCTTCCTTAAGGCCTGGATTTTTACAAAAATTGAATTTTAATGTTTTTAGTAACAGCAAGAAAGAAACCTTCCTTTTAGGACAGAGAGTGAACGGCTTCCTCTTGAGAGTGTTCTCCAAACGAGACTGACATCTAATAGTGTCATGAGCTGCCTGTCCAATTAGAATCTAAGATCACTGAGGGAAGGAACTGTATCTTACAGTTCCTCAGCCCCCCTTACGGTTTTGAGTTCAACAGAGAGACACAAAGTAGGCTTTCAATAAATGCCTTTGGAAGGCTGTATTTATAGCCCAAAACATTCCTAATCGCATTCTGGGATATAATGCTTCTTGATGCTAATGACTCTTTCAGGAGCAAAACCCTCAAAGCAAACAGGTCACACACTGACACAAAAATGCTGTGAGAGTGCAGAAGAAAGGGTTGAAGATGTTTTATCAGGCTCACTCAGTTTCAATCAATGGAGATCCACTCAAGCTAGCCCAAGTAAAGAGGCCTCTACTGAGAGCAAACAACAAGGTTAACCTAAGAACACAAGGGGAAGAAGTGCGCACACAGGGCAGCCGGCCTCAGGAGAATGGCAGCTGTGCCTCACTGCCTTTGGCCCTCCTGCTCTCGGCACAGGTGCTCCATTCCTCTGCTTGTCCTATCTCCTACTCTCTCAGCTCAGCTTACCGCGGGGCTGTCCCAACCCCCTCTACAGTGGGGAATTATTGATTAATCCTTTCAGCTTTGCTCCCACTGCTAACTGCCTCAGTTTCTTACTTTCCCAATTCCAAATTCTAAGAAAGAAATTTGGCCACAAAGATCACAGACTGCCATTCTATCTTACTATTCTTTCAAAGAGCTAAAGATTTTGCCAGTTACTTTGTTATTTAGTTCAGAAATTTAAGCTGCAAAGCTGCCTATGTACCTGATGAAGCCCCTTTTTCCTCCTTCCACCCATACACTGTCCATAATTCCAGCTTACCTCTCCTGCTTTCTTGAGTCCCTGCTTTTCACTACTTGTTTCATAGATATATTTGTCATTGTACTCAAACAAACCCAGATCTCCCACTCTGTAAATAAATCCAACCAAATGAAATCTCCTCAAAAGTATGAAAGCTAATAGAACATATAATTCACTTACCTTGAAAATTCTACTTTTAAAAAACCCAGCTCAGTGAGGAACTTAATTATTCTGTACTATCATAGCTCCCACCAACCCCAGTGAAAGTGTGTGTTTCAAATCTATCTACCTGTGTGGAATGGTAGTGGCTATAGGTGTTTTGATGGTTAAATATTAATAAAGCAGAAACCACAGATCCCATCCCTACATGCAAGATGAATGTATAATCTATCTTCCAAGCCAGGACACTTTAGAGAGTTAAAAAAAAAAACCCAAACCAAATCCACTGCTGTCAAGTCGATTCTGACTCACAGCAACTCTACAGGACAGAGTAAAACTGCCCCATAGGATTTCCAAGGCTGTAAATCTTTACAGAAGCAGACTACCACATCTTTCTCCTACAGTGTGGCTGGTGGGTTCAAACCACTGACCTTCTGGTTAGCAGCCAAATGTTTTAACCACTGCACCACCAGAGCTCCTCCTGAGAGTAAAGGGGAGCATTATTTAATAGCTTGGCAGAACAACAGACATGAGTCAGAACACAGAAGCAGCTATGTTCTATGACCACAGGCTCAGAATTCTAGGGAGATGCACAGGCAGAGCCTAGAAGACAATCCAGATCCCACGTAAAATCCAAAGACCTTCTCTTCCCTCTCACATAGAATTAGTTCATGAAATGGGACCCAGGGTCCTCAGTTCAATAAACTGGCATCATGCTGGTCTCAGTGACTGGTTAGATGACTCCTCGGTCCCACTTCTCAATTCTTTAGCTTTTGCTGTGTTTAACATTGCAATCTTGCTTAATATGTACTTAAAACCTTAAATACCTTATGCTAAAAATCCTACTGCAATAAAATCATTAATTCTAATTAGCAGTGTAAACAAAGAAACACATCTCTCAGTTACAACCCCAAACCAATTTTTTATTTTATGGCTAAAAAGATAAAATATATAATTAATCAATGACATTTCAAAGCTACTGGGTTTTTGTTTTTGTTTTCCACTGCTCCATTTGTCATGTTATTTGCTATGGGAAAAACTGACTACAATTTCTTAACCAACCACAATTTTTTTAAATCTCGCAGAGAAACAAAGCATATTTCTTTCTGCCCATCTTTTCCCCTGATAGCCTGGGTTAACTGGAGGGGAAAAAAAAATCTATTACTAGTCTCATCTACTTGGTTATCTTTTCATATGTAGTACAGGTAGCCAAAGAATAACAACACTCCTTCCAGGAGCAAATATTTCATCATCTCTGCTGTTCTTACACAACAACTACAAGTATGCGTTGAATATAGAACTTCAAACAAAAACACAAGAAATAGCACTGTGTGATTTAGAAAAAGGTATCCAAACATATTGCACCCTACTTCCCACATTGTTTTTGCAGACAGCTTTAATGTGTTGTACTAGACCTATACTGACAACAGAAGCTTCAGCTTTTATTGCTGTTAATACCCTAAGCAATTACTGTAACTCAGCAGGAACCTTTGCCCAGAACAGCAACTATCACGCTGTAATCAGCATTTCATAAGAGATGCTGTTCAAACATGAAGGCACCTGCTAATGTGCAAAAATAGTACAAAAGGCGTGCACAATCAAATAGGTAAATTTTCCTTCATAGCTATATACTTTCCATAGTGCATTGGTATTAGGTTTACTAAAAATCACACGCAAACACAATGAGCAGGGAAGAGCAGTGGCAGCAGCCACTACTAAAATAAAACTCTTCTGGAAACAAGGCCATCGCCCAAATTTTCAGATGTCAGCACAGCATCTGTAAAACATCCTCAGAAGGAAAGATATAATAAATAGCAAAGACCTCTAAAAACAGAGAAAATTCATACTGACATAAAAACTGGATAGAAAGCATTTGATCTGCCAAGATTAAACTACAAGGCCATCTTGTAAAACAACTGAGGAAGTCAGGAGCAGCCTACCAAGAACAAATAAATCTTAAAAGTGAAAGGCACATCTGACTTTATTTTAAAACAACAAGCATGTATTACTTAGGCAATAATTGTTTAATAAAGAAAAATAAATGGTATGCGATTTTGTAACTAGCTAAATCAGAATATATTAATTGGATGTGGTCGTTAAAAATGATAAAAAAACAAAAGGGATGTAGAATTAAAGATCTTTTCAGACTGTATTTACTTTTCTTTAGACTGAAGTATCACACACAATGTGTGTCAGAACATAAATACTGTCGAAGGTTACAAAGGGTGTTAGAAACAAGGGCATACATACATACAGACATCTATACAAAACTAAATAATTAGGACTTCTCTACACCTAAGACTGTAGAACAGTGATTCACAGTCTTTAAGTACAAGGATTGCTTTTTTAACATCAAAATGTTTTTAAAAACCCCCAAATGATAGTACTGTGATATTATTTCAAGTAGCAACTATTTTGAGGAAAATACATAAAGAACATATAATAAACAGTGATTATTAACTAAATATTACTTTTAAAAATAAGTGAATTCTAAAAATTACAACACCATAGTCATGCATTTGAAAAATAGCTATACAGACATGTACAAGGTATATTTATTTAAGACTGAGAATGCTTATTTGCAAAATCTCTACAGACATCCAGAAATCCAAAGCCTAAAGTGTGGAAACCACTGGTCTAAAACTAAGAGATTTCACAATGGATGATTATCAACATTTATGCACCCAGGAAAAATTTTTAATGACCTAGTAGCTATATCCCCCAAACCAGACTTCCTTCAACCTTCACCTCTGAAAGGCCCTAAAAAAGGTTCAAGACACACTCAATTCCTGTCAAAATATCCAAGTAAATTACAGTTTTCCACCTGAGAACTAACCTTTGACTTATTTATGTTATTTTTTCCCACTCATCATCAATTCCTAAATTTACCTTATTTTAGGCTCTTAACAACAGTGAGAGGAAACAAACTACTTCAGAAACTCAAGAGAATCTCTAAAATTAGTCAGTTGTCAAAAGAGCTAATAAAAGACTAAAAACCTCAGAAACATTATTCACAACGTAAGGATTGCAAGAGTAAGTGTTAGAAAACTGAAATGACAAAACTAGTAACAGCCTTATCTGAGTGCTGAAGCCACAAAGCAGTCTGCACTCAGAACTTTGAACTGGCTATCACAGCAATAGTGATGGAGATGCATATCAACACAGACAGCCAAGGAACTGGAAAAAGAGAAGGTGCAGAGTAGAATCAACAGCACATTAAAAAATGCTTACCAGTTTGAAGTCTTGAATGCTACAGATGAAATACGGTGTGTTTGGCCTCCGACTCTCGATATACACACAGTCTTTAAAAGAAAAAGAAATTTTAAAACAATGGCATTTACCTTTAAAGGAACAAAGACAGGGCCCATAAAGCCACAGTATAAACAAATGACACAGCACACACTTCATAAATTCTTTTTCCAAAGGTGATTATTAAATTACAAATAACTTTAAGCTAAAGGAAAACAGCCCTTTAGTTCTTTTTGACCATTTTCTGGTAATTTAAAGAACTTGATAAAGTTTCAATTACTTATTTCAGAGTCCCTGAGGAAGAAAGGGGAAAATCACATACAATTAGCCATATTCAGATGAAGAAACTTAGATAAAGAGAAATTATTTGCTCAAGGTTACACACCAAGGCAAAATTTCAAATGTCTTATTCATATAGATGCTTCTGTGTCTTCACAAAGAGAAATGGCTTTGTCAAGTGCTACTTTATTGTCAATATTTTATGAAGAAATAAATGAAATATGCAAAGAAGCCTAGCTTGAAGATGCTATTACAATGATCTTTCCACCTAAACCAAGAGAAAGAGAACTAATCTAATCTCTTGTAGATAACTTGCTATTAAAATTTAACCTAAATACATTTTATTTTCTAATTGTAAAGAAAACCAAGGCATTCAATCAGAGCTGGAATGAAGTAAACCAAATTACATTCTCCTCAGGGAAGAAGAGTGCTCTCTTAAATTACATCTGACATTGCAGTGGTTGGATAATTATTTCTGCTGCTTTCAACAAGTGGAGTCTAAAAGGTTGCTTTTAAAAACGGTCTGTTAACATACTTTTTTTTTTAAAAAAAAAAAAAAGCAATTATTTTAAGGAAAGTAGTTGCTACAGTGGGAGGTAAAACTCTCCACATAACAACCAAGATCATCATAAAGCTTAAGACAGGAAGGACTGTGATGTATTATTTAGTGAGAAGTAAAGGCATCCGTAGGGTCAATCAACTCTTCTAGGGAGAAAAACCATGATGCCCACATTTAAAATGCCATTCTTGCCCTTCCTCATGACCCTTCAGAATGAGTCCATCTTAGAATAAATAACTCAAGTGCTTGAGAACCCAGGTAGATTCCCATACTGCCTCATTTGTCATACATGTTAAGAGCCAAAAGCAAATGAACAGCAAGTTCAATCATTCATCCAGTAGATAACCCAGTCCCACTCCCACCAAGAGCACTAACAGATCCACTAAGACATAGGTCATGAAGAAAGTCCTCATTAAAGGGTACTTCCTCCCAAGAAACTTTTCTTCAAGACATCAGGAATTTTAAGGCCCAAAGTCATGGGGTGGGGCGGGGGGGAACTAGAATGCCAATTATTTTATTTAGGCATCTAGAATTCCCCCACTGATTTCTCTATTCAGCTGCAGACTCAACAACAGAGATTCAATCCCTGAATCCATGTAAAACAGCAGCTCAGGAATGAACTACTGATTGAGTTTTCTATCTTGTTCCAGGGTCCCGGATATGGAATAACTCTGCTTCAACATTTAGGCAACATCCATTTAACATGCTAAATCATCTTAACAAGCAAGCAAGAGAACTATTTCCACCTTGCTAAATATTTCTCTTCATATTCCTATTTTGGTATTCAGGTAAAAACAGCAAGAAACCCATTCCCTAGATTAAAACTGCAGCTCCAACTTACACAAATTTGGAAAGACCCAAAGTTCTTAAATTCTGTGTTCCCATCTCTGTTGTACCCACTACCAGTATTTCAAATCTCTATACTACTCATTTCCACTCAACCTGAACACAAATCACAGTCTATAGCCCTCTTCTTCCTATCACCTCCCACAGAAAGCCATATATATTTTTTAATATATATATAATCACATAACACCATCAGAGCCCAGCTACTACTCACTGACTTCAAAACTAATAGGTCACTTCCTAACTAATGACTTCTACTTTCTTAAATCCCACCTGGCAAAAAGCATGCTGCTTTCAAGGGTCTGGTCCCACTATACCTCAACAGCCCCCAGGCTGCATTCTCCAACAGAAGCACCAAAACACCCTACCCCTCCATGTCAAACCCTCTTTACTCCCTCATTCTACCAGCTCCTGATCATACCAACCTTATAATGATCTAGTTCCTGAGGAAGTAAGTTCTCAAGGCTCCTCTGGAAAGAAACGGCAACACCTCCCTTCTTCTATATAAAATTAACAATTTACACATTCCCTATTTGTTCCATTATTATCTGTTGGGAAGAGAGACAAGTGAGCAGAGAGCTACAATCAACATGGCAGGTGCAACCACTGAAGCTCCCACAGACCCCCACAGAGCTCTGTGGTAGGAGACCGAAGTCCTTCGGTACAGCACTACACAGCTTCTACATACCTGAGATGGGCCATGAAGCCCAGGCCGGAATGTGCCAGGTGGGCACAGGTGTCGACTGTATGCCAGAAACAACAGCAGCATGGAGGCTGCCAGTGTGGATGCATCACAAGGGCTGAGAGGAGTGGAGAGAGGTCAGAAAGTCAGCAAGGAAAGGCCATGGGGCCCACAGCATGGACACCACGCTAAGGAGTTGGGGTTTACCCGAACTGTATATCACCAGTCCAGGTTTGATACGTGACCTTCGGCCTTGCAATGTTCTGAAGCCCTTCTGGCAGCTTGCCTAGAAGCCCTGTTGGGCATTGTGCCCATCCCTGGCCCAGGGTCTCAGGCGACTGTGGAACCATTACTGCCTTACTTCAGGAAGCTGCGTTTTGCCCCCTAGACTGGCCCTTTTCCTCAAAGCCAGTGTAGCGGGTAAGACCAGTTCAAGGTTTGGAGACACATGCCTGTCACATGCCTGTCCTCACGTAAGCGGGCACTCAGAAGGGGCAGGCTCTTCAGGGAATAGAGTATCTCCAGTGGAGCAGCCACAGGCAAACACTGAAAATACAGCCTCGTGTGGATGTGGAGGCTGGATCCAAGACGCACAAGGCACAGACACAACCAAGGCCAGGGAGCCAGACCAGGGTGGCCAGAAAGGAGGGTATGGTGTAGCTCCTGAGACTGTAGTATGTGGAAGGTTCCATGCCTTCACTGAAACCAAACTCGTTGCCATCAAGTCAATTTCGACTCATAGCGACCTTACAGGACAGAGTATAATTGCCCCCAGAGGGTTTCCAAGGAGCAGCTGGTGGATTCGAACTGCCGACCTCTTGGTTAGCAGCTGAACACTTAACCACTGTGCCACCAGGGCTCCATGCCTGCACTCAGGCATCTAAAAAACAAAACAAAACCATTTGCTGTGAGTCAATTCGGGCTCATGGTGACCCCCATGTGTCAGAAAACAACTGTGCTCCACAGGGTTTTCAATGACTAATCTTTCCGAAGTAGATCACCAGGCCTTTCTTCGGAGGCACCACTGGGTGGATTCAAACTGCCAACCTTTTGCTTAGTAGCTGAGCGCTTAACCATTTGTGCCACCCAGGCTTCCACATGCTCCTAAGGGGCACCTCTGTGTGCAGTCAGATGGTCTGCATTGTCCATATTACTATCAATACTGGGTAGCAAACTCTAAGGCTTCTTGAGTCTGGAGAAACTTACGCGCTAACGCACTACCTGCACCCACCGAGGACGGTGTCTGTCATTAGTGCTGGTGAAACAAGACAGAAGTGAATTAAATGACAGATACTTAGATAGCGAGGACTATGCATAACTTTGTTCTTTTTACACAAAGGAAAGCTTTCTATATACTTTTCATAATCAAGACAATCATTATTACTACTAACCCTCTTACTCTGAGACAAAAAGCAGCTATTAACTTGTGCATTTAAAAAAAAAAAAAAAAAGCTTGCCAGAAACAGGAGAGAGAATCTATGTTATTTCATTTCTTACTGCAAAGTTATATGCAGGAAAATAAACTACCTGTAAACATACCAGGATGTATGCAACTCTGTTAGAGAAGGGAAGAGATGAACATGCTGCTATGACAAGGACAGCCATGACATCCGTTTGCCTAAACACTACTCAGAGGTCTTAGGTAGGGAAGGTTGCCTCCCACATTTGGCCTGAGAGCTGCTGCCAGAAGGTACAGCACAGAGTGAGACAGGAAACCCTCACAGCTGAAGTATGGAATTGCAAAATTCACTTATTAGCACCTTACTATTAAATCAAAAGCCACTTCTTTTTGTTTAAAAAGTTACCACTGAAACGCAAACTGAACCAAAGCTATGAATTTAAAATATGAGATTTCAATACACAAGGCTAGTAATTCATAGAACAGGCCACTGTACCAAGTGATTTCTATTAGGATTTCAAAGCTTATACTTGAAAAAGTCAGATAAGCTCATTGCAAAATTAAGTGACAATATGTGGAGCTCATTTAACATAAATAGTCATAAAACACAAAATGACTAAGATCACAGGCAAGATGAATTTAAATTTTTCAACTTGCTATAGGAATAGAAAAAAAATACAGTTTTGATCTGACTTTTCTAATTTATTTTTTTTACAGCAGGAAAAATAATTTTAGTCAAACTTTTCTTTATAACCCTCCCACCAAAATTAGGGTGATCCAACAAGAAGAGAACACATTTTCAGAAACAAACTGGAATTCA